CATTTTGCTTGCACCTCTCTCTCTCTCTCTCTCTCTCTCTCACTAAGCTCAATGGCATATTAGTCTGTTCAGATGAAGTCCATTCTAAAAAGATAATCTCATTCCTAAATTATGTTGTTATACGGACACGTCTGTCCTAGGGAAAAGGTATTCACTCGCATATGTAACTCTGTATCTACTGTAATGGGTACTATTTTATATGTATATGTGTATGAAAAAGACAATGGTATTCACTTCTCAGAGTGAAACATGTCCCGATTTCTCTCGCTGCCTCATTCATAGCACTGTGTGGAAGTTCTATTTCTATTTGATCATATGAATGTATGTATGTATGTATGTATGTATGAATGTATGTATGTATATATGTATGTATGTATGTATGTATGTATGTATGTGTGTATGTGTGTGTGTGTGTGTGTGTGTGTGTGTGTGTGTGTGTGTGTATGTATGTATGTATGTATGTATGTATGTATGTATGTATGTATGTATGTATGTAAGTAAGTATGTGTGTGAGCAGGAGTGTGTATGAGTGTAGGTGCGTGCGTCACGTGCGTGTGTGCGTGTGTGTGTGCGTGCGTGCGTGCGTGCGTGCATACGTGTATGTGGGCGTGCATGTCCAATTTATGTTAAACATCCAATGTGCTGCACCAATGTATGTAATTGCCGAACCATATGTTAAAATATGTGGATGTATGGGCCAAAGGCCTTTCAAATCAATAAATCATTTTGAATCTTGAATCTCTCTCTCTCACACACACACACACACACACACTAGATTTCTACCGGGTCTGGGCGCTGAAACTTTCCGAAATCACAAAAGAGTTCCCCTACCGGGTCTGTATACTTCGAGACTTTGTTCCCGGTTACCGGGTCTGTATACATTTCGTAAAAGAATGTGTGTTAAATCGACTTATTCAGAAAACAACTTGAACTGCTGAGAAAAATCCTAAGAGGTTATTTGCAGTCTATATATCATATGATCTATGTAATGAAAACCCCCCCACCAAAAACAAAAAAAACCCAATTTAACCCTTTTGTCCTTACAAAGGGAGCACACCCTGGGTTTCTAGCAAAAAGGAAATAATCCTCTAAAATACGACATGTATGTTTTTAAAGTTATAAGAAAGTTGTTTTTTTTACAAAATGATCTGAAAAAAAATGCAACCTTGTCGGGAAAAGAACACTGGTTCTAAGGAAGCTGTTTCCTCTGCAGTAGAGTATGGGCAAGTTATTTATTTCAGCCTCTAGTTGTGACTACCAGTCTTCATTCATTGCCCATCTATTTTGCCAAATGAAAGAATAATTAACAGCCTCTGTGAATCAAAAGTACAGTATTCCGGTAGATCTACACTTCGGCCTTGTTTTCTATTACATCTAACCAGACTTCCTGTCCATATCAAAACTAAAAACATACCATTACCAACAGCAAGGTGGGGGGGAAGGAAATATGCAGTAACTGCAAGGATTCACTGATACCAGCAGCCGGCAATAACTGTAAGTGTGAAAAATGAATAATAAGCCTCTTTTAAATCTTGCCTCAAAGAATAAGAAAAATAAAAGACAATGAAATTTCTAAGACTACAGCAGATTTTCAGCAGTCTTCTTCCAATAACCATATATTTTTTCATAATAAGGGAAAGTGGAAACCAGGCATCAAATTAGGCAAAACAGTGCATATGTGCAAGCTCAAACAGACAAAAGAAGACAGTAACAGTAGTATAAAGAAAATCTGTGTATGGAAACATGTTCCTTTAGGACATTGTACTTTTCCTCATTTCTTTGGTAATTATAACATTTAATTCAGTCTGGTTCATGGATGATATGTCAAAGTGACAGTGGCAGTTCAAGTTCTATGACAGCCCTCACAATAATAAATAAGCATATTATTCATAGTCCAAGTTCAACACAATATCTCTGGTTGACTTCTGTGCAGTATAAATAAATACATCCTCAGCCTGAATTCCCTCTCATGCAGGACTGAAGTTAGCTGACTAGTTCATCACCTAGATTTTCCCTTACCTTTCAAGCAACATTTTAGAGTGAGCAAAAAGAAGCACACTGAAATGACAATAAAGTTACATAATGCTGGGAAAGAGCAAGGCAGATGGACAGAAGCAATAGAGAGAAAGCAAAGAAGAATGAACTAATCAACCATAAATGATACCTGACAGTTGGCAAATCTTGACACAGCAATATGGGTACTTCACCTCTTTGGAATATCTTTGCAACATTAACAGCAGAAACACCTGAGATATTCACAAATTCAATTCTTATCACCCTTTATCGTACATAAAACACTACACCAAAAATTTTCCTTTTCACATCGACCTGTAAGACCAGATCTAGGCGGTTGCAAGCATCAACTCAGAAATTTCTTGAGCTGCAGACTGTCAAGGAAAAGGCGCGATAGTGAAGCGCCTAACCACTACATCACAGATGCTGGTTGGAAAAAGGGTGGGGGCTTCCATGGTTATGTGCTGTACCTGCCACAATTTAAAACACTAAGAGAAGGATGGATATAAGGTGGTTGTTGAACAAGTGAGGTCTCACAGCTACATGAAGTAGGTCCTCATAAAGTCCAACACCAAATGACTGCACAGCACCACTTTTAACTCATTGAGCCTTGGCCAATATGGAACTACTGTGATCTGTCTATACTAACCATTTATATGAGCCTTTGCCAATAGGTGGAGTTTTCTTCATATACGGTACCTTACAAAATCCTTTCCTATAAAAATGGTGCCGTGAGTGGTTGGCGGAAGCTCTGGTGAGGTTTGCTTCTTCTTTCCTATCAAACATCTGTCGTCCTTATTTCTCCTCCTTCTTTTTATGTTTGTTACTCTCTTGTAACACCTCTAATCTTCTGGCGCTCATACGACTTTATGCAGTTGTGAGCACCGTAAAACCTCTACTAAAACTTAAAAAATGGTGCTACAGCTTTGAAAATTGTATATGTGGTGCTTAATATGATGTTTCAGATGTGGGAGCATAGAAATAGATCTAGCAGTTGGGCCATCTGAAGAAATCTTACAATTATATTTAATTCTGAAATCTATGCATTTTTAGAATACAAAACGTGACGCGTCGAGTTCGTACTTTTTCTGTTGTCAAGTTCAACAATGAAATAATTGCTGAGAAACTCGTCCTTTTAAACTTTTACTACTATAACTACATAATTTGCCGTGCTATATCAAGAATAATGATATCTATAGCTGTTTTTTCTTTGCGAGCCTTCTAGATTTTCATTTTCGAGCATAACTCGTGTAGTCATTTCACAAGGCAACTTCGATTCCCCCCCGTGACTTTGTTTCTATCTGCCATTTTGGGGCCCCGGAATGAGCATATTATCATTCAATGTTTCTTCTCTGCCCAGACTGATTCCGAGGCTGTGACCGCATGTAATTTTGAAGAAAACGGAAATTCCGCGGCACCTCGTGCTCTGTCATCATTTGTTATGTTCGAAAGGAGCAATCAGAAAACGAGAAGTACTAGGGGTGGAGGAACGTGCATTGTTCCAGTCTATCCATTCAAAGCGTATTATTGTACGATGCAAGACGACGAGAAGAATAACGATGGATGAGATGAATCCATTTAAGTTTTCTTATGTCATCATTAAATCTAAACATGTTATGTTCGTAAATTTAAACCAAATAATGGTTAACATCGCACTGCATTCCAATGGTCAAGTATTGGTAGATCTACATGCAGCCATGCGTGCTTGGCTAGATGTCAACAAGAGGGGAAAATTTGATGTAAATTGACGATATCTTCTAAAATGCAGACAAATATTAATCCACTATGACGACTATGTGTCATTGTGGTTATGTTCGAAAGATATTTGGTATTTTGCATTAATGTCATAGTAAAATGTGAATTAAGTGGCATTTTTTCACCATTAGCAGGCATTATGAGTCAAACTGAATTTCCTGAATCTGTTTGTCAAAATTTCCCAAAAAATGAATTAAAATATGAAAATTGAAAGTTTTTCATTTCTTTCGGACATACTATGATGACACACAAATGCGAACACAAAGACATTCAGAATCTCTTTTTTCTGTGATTTTATATGCTCTTCATGCTTATGTTTGCGAATTAAAACAATGAGAAAACTATTATAATAATTTTAAGTTCAGTCAATTACTTTTCAGGTTTTTTTTCATTTTGTGTTATGTTTGAAAGATATTAGATATTTTGCAGAGATTCATAGTAAAATGTGAATAAAGTGGCATTTTTTTCATCATTAACATGCATTGCGAGTCAAACTGAATCTTCTAAATCGTTGTTTGCCCAAATTTTCATAAAAGAAATAGAGATGAAAATCGAAAGTTTTTCATTTCTTTCGGACATAACTATGATGACACAAATGCAAACACAACGGCATTCAGAATTTCTAGTTTTTCTGATCCTCACCATTTTATATGCTCTTCATGCCTATGTTTGAAAATTAAAGCAATAAGAAAACTGTTTAAAAAAGTAATTTTGTAAGTACAAATTCTTAAAAAATATGTCATCAGAGTAATGTCCGAAAAAATTTGACTTGACGTTACGTAACGCCAGTTACACAGCTTAGCATGCTGTCTCTAGGTCTGTAAATACATGTTTTTGTAGGAGGAGATATACTATACAGGAATAGAAAAATTCAAGTAAAAATGAAATATTAAAAACTTTACCATCAACCCTCTGTGCTACATTTAGGTACCCACCTATTGGCAAAAGCTCATATATATATATATATATATATATATATATATATATATATATATATATATATATATATAATAGGCCTATATATTAAGCTACTAGCTTAATTTTTGGCTGAGATAATGATATATTTCTCCTGTTTGCAGTTCTCTTAATTTTTACCAAGTTATCTGTAAAATGGTTTATCCCACAGACTTATGAAATAACCTCATAGTTTTCAATTTCCAAAAACATTTCTGCTCACTAAATGTGACAAAACAGCACCAAAAATTAATGACTGCAACACAACAATATGAGGACTAGGTATTAGAGCTGTGCCCATTCGACTTTACTATAAATAGCATAATAGTATAATAGTCTCTGTCCTCAGAGAAAGTTGCATTTGAAAATAGCAGAAGTTGCAAAAAGTTGCAAGAAAAATTTGCAAAAGTTGCAAGAAAAGTTGCAAGACGTGTATAGCTAAAACAATGCCACGGAACTATTGGAATACATTATTGCTATGCTCATTGCAATCAAAAGTAACCAATATGAGTTTTGTTACATCAAAATCAGAAGTTTAATGTGAATGATACCAACAACAAAAAAACTGCACGGAGGTTGCATGGTGTAGAAAAACAGTTCGTCCCCTGACACATGCGTCAGGTCCTTAAACTCTCACTGACGTTGGGCAGGTGTGACCAGCGTGGTTTGGGGCTGTTCAAATATAATCTTACACTTTTTTTAACACTTTCCTCCCCCCCCCCCCCCCTCAATCCCGTAATATTACATTATTCGCTTCTATATAATAATAATGTGACATTTATATTGCGCAAATCAGTCTTACAATCACTCTTCTATGCGCTTTACTTTTAAAGTAGGGCCTATTAATTATAGTATTCATGAAAAACATGCATAGATCTACACACATGTGACATAATAATTAAATACGGTACATGCAGAACTCTTCCAGAAAAACTTACAATGTCATTTTACCACTCTAACCGCACCTGTGTAATAAAAATTAGACTAGATCAACATGTCATGTAGCCCAGATATCTACCAGTGTATAAAGTGCAAGTTGACATATATATATCTATATATACAGTCAAACCTGCCTTAACAGAAACCTGTATAAAACGGAAACCTCTCTTAACGGAATCTTCCCGCTCCCCCCTTGATTTTTTCCTCTTTAATTACCTGTATAAAACGGAAACCTGTCCAACGCGGAAACGGAAAGAAAAATCCGCTCCCTTCCGAGGGTTTCACCTGTCTAAGACGGAAAATGCTTTACCCGCTCAGCACTGATTTAAAACAAAACTCGTAAGTTTGGTTCCGCCGGCTCTAAACTTAACACCACGGCCATACCGCTGGGCGAGGAAGGAGAGTAGGGGTGCAATTTGGGGGTAGATGTTACCCTATACCCAGCCTATACACCATCATGTGAACCCTGAGCTCTGCAGATGGTCAGGGTAGTGAGGGTGTGAAATCTCACGACTGCCTGTGAGAGTGCTCGAGTACCGAGCCACTACGTAAACTTTCTTGGGTAGCCAGAAGCCAGAGGTGTGAAATAGACTCATCAATGCCAGCCGAGAAAAACGCTCCTCGAATCGTTGTTACGTGATGGCAGTGAGGGGTGGCATTGGTTGACTGTGCTTGTTACACCGATGGGTGGGGCTAAGGGTGGAAACAAAGGAGATGTTCAAACGTTTCTGTTTTTAATAGGTCAAACAGTGGTCCTATGAAAGGCAAGCACTGGTGGTAATTGGATAAGTAAGACTGACGCATGTCATAGCAATGGAGAGTTGTGAAGTCTTGACCACTGCTTGTCGATCGGACAAGCGATCCTTGATCCCACCGGCTGGGTCTTTGTGGATGAATCGATCCATGTCTAGAGTAGGCTCCTAGCCTAAGATTTAAAGTCTTTCCCACATTTTTATACTAGATACTAGACTCTAGATCTATCTACCTGGTGCTACGGAACCAAGCAAGCTAAGTAATCAGACGACCATGTTTACGATTGATTTACTCTAGATCTAGATCTAGCTAGACTAGAAGATGATTCAGTCCAAGCAAGACTATTGGGTCGGCTTGCTCACCAAATTGATGGTGCAAAGCGGCTATCGTGGCACAAGTAGATCGCGCCCGACTCGTTGTTTCAAAACAAACACGATGTTTTCAGGCGACGAGTCGGGCGATCATCCCGACCCGACCTGACCCGGCCCGGGTCACTGGGCGGCGGCGGGCACCCCGTAGTGCAAAGGAGCGAATTATCCCCCTTGGCGTTGTTATTTTTAGTCGTGAAAGAAAATGTCGGTGTTTTTAATGAAATTTTATTATTTTCCGAAATTTTGCGGGAAATTGGCTAAAATTCGGGAATTCATGAAAGTGGTAAAAGTTGCGCAAAAGTGCGCTGAGGGCAAAAGTTGCACGCGCAACTTGCGGGATGTGGGTGCGACTTTCTCTGAGGACAGACTATTCAACATTCATGATTTTTGCACTATTCACAGCTGTTGCCCCCCCCCCAAGGGCAGCGCTACTGACTGAAGTGTCTTTAGACCATTCTCAAAGGGGGGATGTTAACAAGTTCTTATGCACAGTAGAAATGTAAAAATGTGCTGATTTATCAAAGTCATGCTCATACTGTGCCAGAACAACATGGGGACTGCTGCTTTTTCTTTCCCCATCCTTAATATCGTCATTTTTCCTCTTCTTCTTTTGTATGTTTGTCACTCTCTTTAGAACTGCTATTACCGGGGTGCCTTGATAGTCCAAGCAGACTTTGTGCTGTTGAAGCGCAAGAGGTGAGTAGAGTAAGCCTTATTTCCCATTTAGACCTCTCTATTGACATCTGCCCCTGGCGCTCATATGACCTTTTGCAGTTGCGAGCGCCGTAAAACCTTACTAAAACAAAACAAACAGCTATTGGGAGTGTGGCAGAGCCATTCAAATTGCATTTTTTTTTCGTATAAATGTTCTCAAATGTCGTAAAATTGGAGGAAAATATATCTAAAATCATTGAGATACATACAAAAATACTCTTTACTCCATATCTATGAGACAGTGATAAAAGGAGCCAACAAGAGTAATAAAACATTCGTCTAAACAATATCCATTACTATTCAATATTCATTTGTCATACCATGGACAGCTCAAGCAAGACCACTTGACTCTTGAAACGCAGCGACTGTTGTTTTTTTTCCATGAATTTAACTGTCGCAATGAGCTCCCCTTCCTCTTTCGAAATTCGAAGCGCTATAGGCCTAGGAACGGCGACGTGATGTGATCGCATTGCACTGACTGCGAAAAAAACACATGCGTACCCAGTGACTGACGTTGTGAATAGTTAACGAAAGTTGAATACCCAAAGTTAGGGCTGGACTTATTACATAGAAGAAAAGACAGTTCAATGGCTCTTTGAATAGTGGATGTTAGGGCTGGACTTATTACATAGAAGAAAAGACAGTTCAATGGCTCTTTGAATAGTCGATGTTAGGGCTGGACTTATCATATATATACTGAAAAAAAACATTAGATGACTCTCTGAATAGTGGAAGTTAGGGTTGGACTGATCTTATACAAGAAAAAACTATTCGAGGGAGCTGTGAATAGTCAGCGAATGTTGAATAGTTGAAGTAAGGGCTGGGCTTATCATATAAAAGAAAAAAAAAACATTAGACGGCTGTATTCGTATGGCATAAATAGTGAGCTCGTGCTTGCAAGCTTCGATGAAGTTTTGTTTCCTCAAAATTGCACAGCACTACTAGGTATAGATATCTATATCTTACTTAAATGTTATGATTCATTATGAAACTGTCTTTCTAAGACATCCCAAGATCTAGTATAATCAAGCACAGATAATGATAACATGGAAAGCTCGGTTTCACTGAAAGTTCATACAATTTGCCATTCCTTGACCGATATCTCTTTAGATTTTTTATTACCAGTTAACTCCAATTATGGATGTGTCAAACACATTTGTCTATCCTCGACATGTTCGAGGTATCCATGCCAGACTGTATTTTTTTTCCTTCCAATAAGCAAAATGAAAAAGATAATGGGCCTCAAGCAAGTCACCAAAGTGAAAGTAGTTTTAATCGAAACCACTCCCACATTTTGGAAATCTTCATTTCCAGTTAAAAAATAATACAACTAAAGCTTTGTACAAAAATTATATTGTACTTTTTGATCATCATCTAATGCCTAGTGCCGATCCCATCAAAGTTCAGGATCGGTGCCTAGCTGACATCCAGTGCACATTTGGAACCAGGGTTCAGTGAATTATCCTTATTTTAAATCTGCATGATGCACTCACACAAAAAGAAATGTACATAAATCTTGCAGGTCATGAGATGCTGATGGTGTGAAGGCCAATATCGCGGGTGTCTTTGTAGGCCCAGACCAGACAGTAGTGGGACAAGAGCTGGTCAAGCAGCTCTCGTTCGTCCAGCATTTCCAAACGCTCTATTCTGAAAAATAAAAATAGTTCTGCATTGATAAAACTGAATTGTGCCTGGGGATATCATACAGTCAAACTAACCATAATGCCACCTGTCCAAGACAACCACTTGTACAAAAAACCCACTTCCCAATTCCCTGCTAACATTTTGTTCTATCAGATTACAATGACATGGTTCAAGAGGGCCACCTGTCAAAGATGACCACTTTTCTCCTCGGCAATAGGTGTTTGTCTTGGACAGGCTGAACTCTATTTTGTGAAATCAGAAATCATGAAACAATAAGTTAAGGCAATTCAAAGGATAAACAAGCAAGAGAAGTCAAACTACATTCCAACATTTTACTTTTATCTACAATTTCCCAGATGTTCCATTAGCAATATAATTCTCATTAGGGTGGATAGCAAGATAACTAACAACAGGAAAACTTTTCCAGCAGCATGGCACTGTTAAGAAATCATGATGACATCAAAAAAAAAAAGGAAGTTTGTGGGGTCGCATTTAGGTGCTTTGCCATCGCATGCAGAAAACGTGATTTCGAATCGATTCAAGTGCGCGAAAATTTTTTATTGAGCTGTCCCTGTGGTTTTATCTGGCCCCCCAGGAAATCGCGGTCTTGTGGCCGCAAGTGCTGCCGCGTTTTTCATCGAGTTCCGCCGCGTTTTTCGTCGAGTTCTGCAATAAACCCGCAATTTTTTTCAATTTTCGCAATTTCTTGCAATTTTAGGCAAAAATACATCAACGTTTTAATTTCAACAGAATTTTAAATACGAAATGGTGCGAGTAAAGAACCGATAGGCAAACGTATGGTTTCAGCCCAGCTCTACCCTACTGGGCGTACTCTAAAAGCTATAGCCGGAACTTCAGGCCGGAATACATTATACAACACAAACTGAGACCAAAGATACTACACCTATAGATCTAAAGTGTGTAAGCGTGCGCGTGTGCTAGAAAGTAGGTGTGTGCGTGTGTGTGGTGTGCATGTGTGTGTGCGTGTAAGGTGTACATGAGTGTGTGTGTGTGTGTGTGTGTGCGCGTGAATATTGTTCGTAATCTTACATGATGCATGTGTCTACATACACGGTGGTAATCAGGCACCTAGTCTCAGTATTTACGTACACGGTAACCGGAATGAAAATAAATCAATATTTGTCCTGTGCTGTTACTTGTAAAAAAAAAAGAAAGTCATACATGTACAACACAAGCGTCTTGTCATGCCCGCCATCGTCACCGGTCAGTGAACCTGTGCTTTCGCATCACATTGTGAGTACCGGTTGGGGTCACCCAAGTGCATTCAAAGTATGGGCGCTGCGAAGTATAGGGCTCCGGAATTGGGGGATTATTGATCATTTTTTTTTAAAGGTACAGCCGGAAGAGGGCTGGGGTTGAAGGCAACACCGGATGACAACTGAACTTGGAGTTCTAAACTGCCCGGTTACCGTGTACGTGACACCGGTTGCCGGTTACTGTGTACGTAGACACTGAGGCTAGGTGCCCGGTTACCGTGTACGTAGACACTCCGTTATGTAAACTGCCTTAGGCTGCATTCACACGGGAGTGGGCGCTATAAAAATGATCTACATTATTATTACTATTGTTTATAAATTGAAAAAAAATGTTCTGTATTTTACGATTTGACTTAGTGTTAAAACAATACCATACTGGTTTTAAAAAAGAAAATATCTGAAATAGATCCAAACACAGATTACCAGTGTATCGGAGGTTTCAAGAGAAAAATAGAACAGGATCTGAATTGATTGGAGCATAAGCTAATTTTGCATTCAAAGGTTGTTTCGAAAATCTCCCCTCAAATTTTTTGTTTTTATAGACTAAACCTCATACTACACTTTTAGATCTTTGCAAGAACCAAGTACCCGGTATGTACTAAATTTGGTCAAATTTTGTGTCTTCATTTAAAAGTTAATACGAAAACCGAGGGTTCCGTTATTTTGTGTCACGCGGTATTATATTTGGTCGATAACTTTATTGTTAACGTACTCGAGTGTTGTTATTAGTAAACCTTTTTAAAAAGGTCATTCTGCTTTTATGCTACCGGTACTCAAATTGTCATGTTTTTTAAACTAAAAATGTTAAGCCTGTATTAATGCACCAGGGAAGGGAAGGTTGCAATTTTTTGCAATTTTTAGGCAGTTTACTTTGCAATTTTTTGCAATTTTTCTATTTCAAAAATGCAATTTTCCGCGGGGCCAGTTTTATGCACCCTGCACAATTTAGCAAAATTTGATCATTTTTGGCATAATTTCTGATTATTTTCCTTTACCATTCTTTGTTAAAAATAACAGAATCGCATAATTTCACATTTTTGGGCCCTGTTTGCATAATTTCAGAATTTTTCTAGCATAAAATGACGGGGACAGATTGAGTATCTCTGTGTGACTGCTGAGTCTTTGTTTCCCTTAGAGCCCAGTTTTGATCCTTCCAGGCAGAGTAGAAGCAGTAGGCCTCCTAAATGGTCAAAACTGTATTTTTTTTAAAATATATTTTTTTTATAGTAGAGGTTTTACGGTGCTCGCAACTGCATAAGGTCATGTGAGCGGCAGGGGTGGGTGTCAACAGAGAAGTCTTTACAGGGAATCAGACTTAGACTACTCACCTCTCTAGCTTCAACAGCACAAGGTCTGCTTCGACTATCAAGGCACCCCAAAATAGCAGGTCACAAGGGAGTGACAAACATACAAAAGAAGTAGAGGTAAATGACAATAGTAAGGATCAGGAAAGAAAAAGCAGCAGTTCCCTATTGTAGATCAGGCACAGTTATGAGCGTGACATGAGTCAGCCCATTTACAATTCTACTATGCTTGAACGAGATATGTCCCCCCTTTGGGAATGGCCTAAAGACACTTCAGTCAGTGGCACTGCCCCGGGGGGTTAAAACTGTATTCATGAGGGCATAAAAAACACCAATGATAAAAAAAAAGTAAACGTCAAAATAAAGTTAAGACAAGTAACCATAAACTGACGCATACTTAAAACTCTCTTTCCAACCACCTCGCAACAAAGGCTTTCTGTTCTCAGTTGTGTGCTCCGCCTCATGGATACTGAAGTGTGGCAGTGATGTAACCAATCAGACAACGGGCAAACACAAGACGAATGACAAACTGTATAAGTATTTCAACCCCTCCCCAAAACTATCATAGAAAACCAACAGTGGCATCTGCTGTAACGGCCATCAGTCCAAGACGATCGCCTGTACAAATGTCCGCTTCCTATCCCCCTCCCCCTCCCCCCCACACCTTGTGTTTTTCAGTAAGAAATATTACAATGACTGTTCAATATGTCCACCGGTCTGAGACAACCACTTTTCTTCTTGACTGTATCTCTCATTTCCAACGCCCAAGCCTTTCTTCCATCCACATGAATAGCACCATATTATGGCATAAGTCGTCAACAGCCATTTTACAATAGTTTTGAGATGAGTAGAAGATAGAGATAATCACGTATTGAAGTGAAATTTTGTCTCTCCCATCAAACCTCTACCTCATAAAACAGCTCCCCTCCTTGGTGAACACTTGTTGAGCTTCATTAAGGGATGTATTCAAAGAATTTGTATACCACTTTTTTTAAAAAGCTCCAAAAACAGAGGCTTCTAGTGTGGATAGCAAATCAGTTTGCACCTGCATGATTCGTCAGAAGAATCATCAGGAGATGAGTGGGAGGTGTATAGTAGTCTCCGCCAAAACGCGTGCAATACAAAGGCATGCTCCCCTCAAACGCAAACTTTTGTCAAATGATGGGACTTTTACTATATTATGATTCAGACGTACAAAGGGATTGTCACATTCTCTAAACACACCCTCTGATCCACAAAAAATGCTGACAGGTAAATTTTGACAATGGGAAATCTTCGCAACAACCTGGACAGTGTGCAACATGATAACAAAAACAAGTCTAGGCAACCGGATATCTGGCGAGGCTGACAGTGATCGACAGCGTGTTCACACCCTACGGACACATACGACTAGCGAGCGATATGTGGGGGGGGAGGGGATGTGTGTGTGTGTGTGTGACTGAGATGACTTTTGATTGGTCACTCGAAATGCATCTTTGAGAAAAAGCTTCTCTTTCTTTGGTGTGTGGATGACTATAATGATTGGACACAATGATTATTTAGGCCTATGATGTGCAACACGCGACAGTTGACAGATAGATGAGAGAGGTCGCTTAGACAGGTTCACGTAAACCACGTAAACACATGCTCCATGTAAAAATGAGCTTAGGAGCTCTCCTGTGTGTTCAGGTGGAAACTACTGTAAAGGCTTCTGTTTTCTTAGGAGGAGAAATCTATTAATCCCAAGGGGCAGACTCTATGTGTAGGGGAAAGAAATGGCATGCATGGCTAGTCTCACAGAGATGTAGCCTGCAGCTGCACAAGCATGTCATGAGTGTGAAGTGTTACTGTTCCAATGGAAAGACAAATGAACTCTAACCTTCACTTTGGTTTAGTACGAGTTTCACTGCACTTGCATTTTACAATAAGGTCATGTAAATGCCGAAAATTAGAGATGTTACAAGAGAGTAACAAACACAACAAAAACAAGGAGAGATAAAGACAATAGAGCACTCGTCAACCACCCACACTCTAACCTTTGTAGATCAGCCTGAGGCAAACATCTGTACAGTGTCTTCATGTCCATAGCATCGCCACCTGTCCAGCCCCTGGTCAGAAATCTGGAAAAAGAAGGGGAGATTGAGCAAAAGAAGAAGGGGAAGGAGGGAGGGGAAAAGGGAGTTGGCATTCGAGTAAAGAGAAGGCAGCATACCCTTTAACTGTATAATAACACAAGACATATATGCATGATACTCTTACTCTTACTTTGGTGCATTACCTCTACTTTATTTCTTTCTTCCATCTTTTACTCTGACATCTAGTCCAAATGCTCCACCTTCAAAATGACTGACCTGTATCATGAGGGGCATTATTCTCTATAAGAAGCACCAAACGAAGATTTATTTAATATCAGTGGAGGTCCCTGAAGTATCATTACATTTCAAACACAGATAAAAGAACATAAAAATAGGCACAAGTCCAGTGTACATACACTTATTGATTCTTTAGTTTTAGTAAAAGTTTTACGGCACTTGCAACACAATAAGGTCATATAATAGCCGAAGATGAGACTTCTTCACAATAGTTTAACAATACAATTAAGACTAAGGACTTGCAAAAAACAGAGGACATGACCACCATAATAAAAAGGAGAAGATGGAGACGGATTGGGCATGTTCTGAGAAGAGAACCAGACTCTACTGTGAAAACTGCCCTCCACTGGACACCTGAAGGACATTGCAAGAGGGGAAGACCCAAAGTGACCTGGAGACGTACAGTAGAGTCTGAAATGAAGTCCTGGAATCATTCGTGGGGAACGCTGACCAAGATGGCCCAAACAGACAGAGCTGGAGATCCTTTGCCGCTGCCAGATGGTGTAACGGGTAGAAAGTAAGTACTTGCAAAAAACACACTTAAAGGGTGCCCAACATGTTACAAAAAAGATTTGAGAGAGATGTGAGAATGCATGGCTAACTCATTTGTTTTAGTAAGTTTTTTTACGGCACTTGCAAACACAATAAGGTCATATAAGTGCCGAAGATTAGGGGTGTTACAAGAGAATAACAAACACAAAAAAGAAGGAGCAGAAGATAAGGACGATAGATGTTTGATGGGAAAGAAGAAGCAAACCACACCAGAGCACCTGCCAACCACCCACTTGCTAACTCACCTGTTCATCTGTGTGTCCAAACTGGCACAAGCAGCAACACCACTCAGAAGACAATCTCGCGTCTTGAGGTTCTCAATCATCACTTCCCCAAAGCTGTCTCCCATGTTCACCTTCCAAGTACAAATTGTGAGAAATTCAACATTAAAAAAACAAACGGTCAATAAGCAGCCCAATTTAAAGCCCACTTGACCAAGAACAGAATAAGATGACAGAAAACCTAAGAAGAAGTAGAAGCAAAGGAAGGAGACATGTTGGAGTGCAAAGGACTACCACTACTAGGGAACTAAATGATACTTGCAATTTGACAATAGCAGTACAAAGGGAGAAATATAGAAAACAAGTAGCACTAATCTTCAGACCTGCCAGTTACAGGTTTGTATGAAATCTAACTTTTTTCCCCTTAAATTTCGTTTCCATTGATCATATGCAACTAGCCGTTAATGAAGTGAAAATACACAAGAATATCTGCTTTTATTAGCAATATTTATACAACTTATCGTAAATGACATGAACAATATACATTTTTATTTTTGCATTTAATTCTGTTTATTTGGGATTCACTTTTACATGCCATAATCGGTTCTTAACATTATCTGAATCTACTGGGGCTCTGGAGACTCCGATGTGACTTACCTGGACTGTGAAATAACTTATTGTGTATTGAAAATGACCACATTTTACATGTCAAACGTGACGACCGGTATTTCATACAAAGTCTGACTATTTAAAAGAGGGTCAACGCAGGGTTCGAGCATCAGCTCGGTCCGACGTTGTGTCCTTGGGAAAGGCACTGTACACGGAATTTCCATTTGGCTCGGTTCTTTCGGAGATAGACGTTAAACTCGGAGGTTCTGCCTCTTAAATAACCTAATCGTGTTAATAAGGGCATTAAACCAATAGCCTACCATTTCATTACTTTTTTTTCAGGGTTAAATCTGAGAATTCTGCATAAGCTTTTTAAGCTTGTTTCTTCCTTGCAGGATAATTTGCACAGAGCACACATTAAGCGTTCTTCCTAGATCCCATATACTCTGATGCTACAGAAATTATCAACTCATTTAGTGCTAAGTGAAGACCTACGCACTTCCCTGCTGTGTTGAGCAATTTCTGAGAGAACCAACTGGAATGAGGGCAACTTGGAAAAAAGATTATAAGAAAATAAGCTACTTCATATATCATTCAATTTTTTCTGCTGCTTCTTGAGAATTGAATGTCATATCTTGTGATTGTGTTAGCTTTTATGCCAACGTATGTATTAAGTTTGCAATAGCTGTGATGTTTGAACACAGAATTAGCAATGGGCCTATGATACCGGCTATGGCATTTGTTGTCTCATTGCAGTGAAACTTGAATATATAATGAAATCATCAGGCCAAACTATCAATTTCGTTGAATCTGGATGTTCATTATAGCAGAGTGAGCAGTGTAGGGCTTAGCTAACATATATGGCAACATTTCGCAACCTCAGTGATTTCTTGTCGTATCTCCATTTTTTTAATCAGTGAAAATGTGACGTCTTCTTAAGCTCACTCTTTATTGTGAACTGTTTTCACTGTTATTAAAAATGGATACATGACAAGAAAGCCACCCCCATGGGGCAGTGCTACTGACTGAAGTGTCTTTAGGCCATTCCCAAAGGGGGGACATTAACATGTTCTTATGCTCAGAAGAATTGTAAAAGGGTTGATTCATCAATGTCATGTTCATAACTGTGCCTGAACCGCATACGGGGAATACTGCTGCTTTTTTTTCCCAATCTTTACTATCCTCATTTTTCCTGACAAGCGGCTTCGTAGAATCCGAGTTTTTTCATTTATGCATTCATTGAATCCGAGTTAGTTTTGTTGATATTAATGGATAAAAAACCCCAGGGAATTAATCTCCTTTCTTTAAATCCGAGCTTTCGTTGAGTCCCAGTTCGTTGAATCTGAGTTTCAAAGTATTGACATCAAAATCAAAGCCACTGTCGGCAACAACCTAACAAGCACACACCAAATACCAAATATCACGGGTTATACCCCCGCTCGTATGGCAGTGGAGTCTGTGAGCATAACGGATACCCCCCACCCCACCCCAGATGTTTCCTCTGTAAGTACAGGCGATGGTGCTCAGCCCTTTACCACTCAATCCATTGACAACACATTTACACATACAGACGAAGACTCATTTTATATTTCACCAGAAACTCATATTTTGACATCCACACCTAAAACGAAGACGAAACAGTTCACAGACAGTACCAGCTCGAGTCAACACTTTTGAAATCTGACACAGAGCCACTCACACCGTTAGAAGAAAAAGTTGCTACACATCTGATCAGACGAAAGCTTAACACATCTCAGACGAACGAACAGTTGAGGTTCAAAAGAAAAGGACAAGGGGAGGGGGGGGGTAGGGATGCTCCACGCCACAATCGCCAGAGTGGAAAAGAGAACAGTCGGCATAAAAAGCAAACAAAAACAACTTAAAGCTGTGTTGGAAGCACACCGACTACAGACATCTTCAGATTTGAAGGCCACACTCCCTGAGCCGGCGGAAAAAAGCAGGAAAAAGCAAACAAGACAACAAGACGATTTAGACGATTCAGACCATTCATGGATATAACATTAGTGCCTAAATTGTTTTATAGTAGTATGTTTATCAAATTATTGACTATAGTAACATCAATCCAGCTGTGAGGGTGTAAAGAACGGTCTTCAATCTCATGTGAAATGTACTCGTGCATTGGCTGGACACAACTGTTTTCCTACTCATTGACAAGACTGTGTGCATTAATCAACAATAACAACAAGACTTTTTGGTCGTACCTCATAAACGTAAATGTGTTTGAAAGTTCAAAGTCTGACTGTGAGCTAAAATGAAGACTGTAACAATCTGTTGGTCCGTTTATTTTTAATTATTTTTTAAAAAACATGTTTGTTTGTAATAACTAATCTATGATGAGAGCCACATTCCCCCTCTTTTAAACAACACTTTCTTTAACTTCTCCGTAATAAAATTTATACTGTCATAAACTACACCTTCGTCTTCATGTGATCACTTGGTTGTTGTTTCATTGACTTTCTCGGCTTTCATAAGAACTGGTGTTGTTTTATGTGTACAAAACATAACATCGCGGGGGAGCCGCTGACCGCGAGGCCGAGCGCCTGCAGGTAGCATGACTAGGGCGTGACCTCGTCTCGGAGGTCAGGTCGGCCGGCAACTAAGTGATCCTGAGTGGAACAGCCGTGTTTAGTTAGCGCGACTCAGCATCCTGCCAGAGCTAACCGGCTTGAAATCACGGGGTTAATGAGCCCTGAAGCGACTTTGTCGGTCTCAGTTAAGAAGTTCACATTTTTTTTACTATGTTTGAAACGACATAACTTCTTCCCTATCCCACACAGCAAACCATTATACTGATACAATATATACTAAAAGCTCAATGTCTTGAGATTCATTTTATGTTAGAATGGTTTATTTCTGTGCCTTAGTTTTTGTTCTAGACAAGTGTTTGTAGAGTACCCAATTTGTCATATTTTAGTCACAAACTTACGAATAAATTATTGTTTACTTAAAAATGGCACGACAGATCTCTCCAAAATCTGTGTTAAACCGACTACGAATATCATGTCTTTTACCATGAGAAATCTTAAATCTGCACAAGTAGTAATAGTCAAATTATAAGAGAAGAAAGATGCAAATTTGCATTTTTTAACTAAAGACACTCAGCGTTAGCTCTTGTTTTACCATTAAACAAAAGAAAGTTACTCTGCATTTGTTCATGTTTCTGTAGAAGCCTGAACACAACTAAGAAGAGATATATTATGAGATTTTTTAAAAACATGAAAGTGTGTATATACATGGGTAGAGATAAACTTCTTGTATGGAATCAAAATAATGACAGCTAACAAATTAATTCTTAGTTTTTGTGTAGGAAATATGCGCGGACACTTATGAATGTAAAGAAATCAGAACATTGTCAGGTATTGCAAATAGTCAAAGAAACGAAAACAAAAGCTGGAAAAGTCTGGAGTTGATTCAGTGTCACTCGAAAGCTGGAAATTATTCTTATAATCCAATCAGGAAAGTCATCCCTGTTATTCAGTCAACTTACAAAAACCTAGACTTAACGCTCTACGAAAAGTAAGGAATTTCTGGTGTGTAAATGATACTGTTCGTGTATTACATTGTAGATGACACTTAAACCGATTTGTACTTTTTCATAGAGAGACCTCAGGGTAATTTTTATAAACTTTCGAGAAAATATGGAATCATCATCATCATCATCCAGTGCCAGATCTGCGACAGACATCGGCGATTATGGTTTTCCATTCATTCTTTGCTCAGATGCTCTAAAAAAAGCTACATTTCCCTGATCTTTCCCTGTTACCCATTTGTTTAGGTTCCCTAAGTATGTTGTTCTGGGCCTACCCCTGCCTCGCTTGCCCTCAATTTTGCCAGTGAGAGCTAGATGTTCAAGTTCAAGACCCTTATGACTATTCAGATGTCCCAAAAACTGCATTTGTCGTTTCCTGATTGTTTTTAACATTGAGCGTCCCACGTGGGCTTCATCAAGCACTACCTCATTTGATTTCTTTTCCTTCCATGATACTCATCTTAGCAGTCTCCTCAGAAACCACATTTCTGTTGCTTCTATTTTATTTTCACTTTCTTTAGTGATTGTCCAGCACTCACAGCCATATAGAAGGGCTGACCAAACATAGCATTTCAGGACTTTCATTTTAGTGTTCATTGAGATGTTTCTATTTTTCAAGATTGGGCTCATTTTATTGAAACTAGCCTTAGTCATTGCAGTTCTCCTCTTTACTTTTGTGGAACATTTGGCGTCAGATGTTATTATATATCCCAGATATTTAAACTGTTGGACTTGTTTGATCTTTTCACCTTTGATAATGAGATTACAACTAGGGTTTGCTGCTTTTTTGGATATTACCATGCATTCTGGAATATTCACAATTATACAAGACACATAAAGTTGTATTTGGAGGAATTACTTCATAGCGAATAGTGTGCCAAAAGGATAAAGTTGCAAAATTACAGCTTTCATTTATGTGCGCAGATACCATCTTTTCTGAGTATTGCACCAATGTCATGTCATTCATGTTCCAAAAGGTCGACAGTTTTGGTTGTGCGCTTTTTTTTTTATATTGATTTTTTTTTCATCCACACTTGTTAAAAAAATGTTACAATTTAGCATTGCTGACTTCAGTGCGTCCAACAAAATAACCAGACAAATTACAATGTCCATTTTGGAGTTTCAAGAGTAGACCCACTAGAAATGCTTGCTTTGGATGTATTGAATAATAATAACCATAAATACAAGGATATATACCTAAAACTGTACGTTGAAAAGTACCAAAAATTAAGTCAGCCCAGACAGAGCGGCGACAGGGAGCTGATCCCCGTGACCCCGACATGATAAGGCGCTCGGCGGGGACCCCCCGGCAACTAAAATTCCAGTGCCGGTGCGCTGTGAAAGAGGGAATCAGAACATAAGTGTTCAGCAATCCAGGATTTCCTGGAAAAAGCAATATTCCTAATTCTTAAGTTACAAACCTGCTCATAGTTGATGAAGAAAGCAGTGGGAAAACTGTCTGCAACCCACTTCACTAGTTTGTCTGTATGTTCTGTTTCAATGTAGACAAGAACACATTCAGAGAGGAACAACGTGGGCAGTCCTCTGTCCACATCGCATGCGGTCAGTTTTGACTCCAAGCTGCCGACATTGCGTAGGTTTGAAGACACTAAATGGTAGCTGCCAGAGTGTATCTCTGTTTTACTCATCATGATTTCACTGTCTGAGAAAAGAAACAAAATAAAGGGTGTCCAGTTTTCTCTAATAGACAATAACTGAAACTAATTGTCGGGCGCGGATAACTCAAACACGTAGGGGACTGACAAATTGCTTCCTCAGAATTACAAAGTTCTATCTGACATGTTCGGCCGTTTTTAGTTACTAGGACCATGAGATAAAAAAACAAACATTTTATCTGCTCTACCAAAATCGTAAGATTATTAGGACTCATTATCAAGATATTCAAAGAATTGTATTTGAAAAAGCATGACATGATGTGAAACTCAAAATCTATGACGCCAAATTTATCAAAACTAGGTACTGAGCAGATAGAACTTTGTAAATCTGAGGTAGCCAAATGAGTTCAACACACCCATTATCTGGGTAAACCCATTATGCAAATATTAAAGACATATTGTTGATAAATGGCAAACTATACAAGTCATCTATGACTTTGAGTTTTTTCATGTTCTTATTATAAAATTTATATGTGATGACTAGTTTTTTTCTCCATAAAACAGAAAATAAAGAAAGGTGTGTTGTTTTTCTTACACACATCCTGCGAGACAACACATCCTGCGAGACAACACATCCTGCGAGACAGTCAGACCCGACCTGTTGACTTGGTACAATTGTCTCAGCACTTTACACTTGTTTACATTGTTATGGCTTGTTTTACCCCCAAGTCTTATAATATAAATTGATATTTTGACGAGAAGCGCGAGCTTCATAACCAACAAAACAAAGCACTGTGTGTTGTATTTCTCAGATACATTATGCGAGACAGAGTCAACACTTAGAATCAAAGTGCTTATTCAGTCTTAGAACTTTCAAGTTGTTTACATTGTTTTGGCTTGTTCTATGCAGGTCTTGTACTTGGATGAACTCATCTCATCACTTATCTAAATCTATTGTAAGTTTTACAGACCTGTCTCTTATAATAAGCAAACAATCATCAATTAAAGATTGTGACCTATGATGACATCTTGCATACAGTAGAATTTTCCTTAACATGTGGGGGGTGCATACCCGGTAAGTAGTCAAGGAGTTTAAGTCTTTTTCTTCCCTCCCTTTAGCTTTGATTGTCTCGCTTTAAAATGAACATCTGATAAGGATATAAGCCAATATTACCTCAGAATATAAAATATGCAAAGTGAGCAACAGACTCTCAAATTAGTCTTTAAAAAAATGTTTTGCCTTTAGTCTTCTCCCTACAGCATCAGATTGCCCACACTAAATCTTAAATTTGCATTTTCAGCACCACAATAAAAATCCGTCATGGCCACAGAAATGGAACAACCTGTTTACTGCCTTTTCCCTATGTAATTGCCCTGTTAAACAAAGCATGTCCAACAAAATTTTCAAAGAACAAATTACTCAATAAACAAAACATTAAGACATTTGTTGTAAAAAATGAAAAAAAGTTATTCCTACAGTACAGTTCTGAAAGAAGACCAAAAAAAATTAAAGTGAAGTTTAAAACAAGATCAAATTAATGAAGTTGATTATTCAACACAAATTCAACTTAAGCACAGCAGACTGGCATTACTACAAAGTTAATTTTACCTTCACCGGATAACGCTTCTAGCAAAGTCTTCTTTGACTTTATGTAGTGGCATTTGCGGGCGGTCACTTGCTCAAAGTCAACTTCCACATAGCACTTGGGAGTGAGACCTTCTTCATGCAATCGCCAAAACATTGTGTCAAAGCCAGCACCCAGGTTCACTATCTGGCAGTTACAGTTTGTCATCTAGACACAACAAAGTCGAAAAAAAAAGAAGAAAAGAATACCAATCATTACAAACAGAAAATCAATTTAATGAGCAAGTTCAGTAACACTAAATCTAACAAGGTTGAAATTGAACCTTTAACAAACATTTGCATCAGGTAGCATAAGTGCCCTAAGGCTTTAGTTATAGTAACTCATTAAAAGGCATTGCTGCCGACTGCACTATGATTATCATGGGGGTAGCTCCATTATTGAAAAGGAAATCCAAGATGAGACCACTCAGCTGGGGAATAATTCAGCTTTGGTGTTGTACCTGATGTATGGGTTTGAGGTAAAATGATAACACCAAGCCCATGAATGTCTCATTGGGGATTCAAACCATGGTCATCATCACTGTCCAGTATGACACAAATAGAGAGTACTAACTAGTCATTTCGTCACACTGGTGCAGTCAAGACAACACAGTCATCTCGTCACATGCTAAAGCCACAAGATTGAACGGAGACAGTCACTTCGTCAAATCACGATATTTGGGGGAGGTATAGGTGGTGTGTGGAAGAACAGGGGGGGGGGAGGGATTCCGAGTCGTTGTGCCTACCTGATCAGCTACACATCCTTTCTTAACTGGGGGAGTTCTGTTGGGTTGTTTTCATTGGTGAAGGGATTGTGGGGGGGGGGGGGGGGGGCAGTTTTAGGCTTAAATTACTTAAAAACAAGAGGGAACGTCCCACCGATTACGTGCTAGAATTGGGGATTTAGAATAAAGTATAAAGACAGCTGGCGCAGATCTTCCAAAACTCTGCAAGCGTGTGCGCATGAAAAGCAAGTAGATGTGTGTGTGTGTGTGTGTGTGTGTGTGTGTGTGTGTGTGTGTGTGTGTGTGTGTGTGTGTGTGTGTGGTGCATGTGTGTGAACATGTGTGCGAGGAATGTGTGTGTGAGTGTGTGTTTGTGTGCGTATGTGTGTGTGTTAGTGTGTGTATGAGTGTGTGTGTATGCGTGTGTGTGTCACGGGCTTGAATATTGTTCGTACATGCATTTATATAAAGCGCCTAGAGCTGTGTTTATACGGGAGTGGGCGCTATAACAAGGATCTTCATTATTATTATTATTATTACTAGCATAATAACAATTTTGAAGAGATTTAAAAGTCATTTCATCACACATAATTAGGGTGTGGTGATGAGATAACCGTGTGACGAAATGACTGGTTTCCCAAAGAGAGTAGTAATGCACCCTGAATTACATAGAAAACATGTCATAGGAAGAAAATAAATTTTCCTCTGTCAAACAGAATAACTTAACCTAAACTAAAAATTATGGATTGACAAACTGAAAATCCTGACGTCACAAAGTAAAAAAAAAATTCACCTACAACATAACAACATAATCCTTCAGAGCAGGACCTCAGGAATGACTTTTGCGTAGTTAAAAAACAATGTTTTCTTAAAACAGTGGGATCTTAACTCACTTGAGCCCGAGCTATTTTTCACCCAACAACTATTGCAACCTGACAGTATTGGGTAAATGGTGCAACAGTATCCTGTTGCTATAGTATAATTCTCTGTCTGAAGTTCACACTGAGATACAAATTCTGTCATTTTCTCAACTTGTTCATTGTTACATCTGCTACTGTTCCCTCAACTAGCACTACTAGATTTGTATTATAATATCACTTGGACTGGACTTCTTTAAAATTCTGATTCCTACTTTCACTTTCACCAAACTCAGACTCCAACTGTTCATCGCCTGAACTACAGCCACTATCCATGGATCTAGCATTTTTTTGTATGTTTTGTGGGACACTGGGGGAGCTTTAGCCTTCGTTCACTATCACACTTTTTAAGCACTTCAAACATGTTTCATCCATGTCTTTTACAGGGTCATCATCATCATTCCCTTTCTCACCCTGGATCAGGATATAGGCCATGAACAATCACTTTCCACCTTTCCTTATCCTGGGCTAGTCGCTTGATGTCACTCCATGTCTTCCCACTTTTCTGTACATCCACTTCCGTGACTCTTCTCCAGGTTCCACGTGGTCTTCCCCTTGATTTTTTACCTTGTGGGTTCCAATCTAACACTTTCCTTGTTATTCAGCTGCTTGACTTCCTTAAAGTGTGTCCAATCCAACGCCTTCTTCCCACCTCATCTCTGACTGGGCTCTGTCTCGCTCTTCTTAATACTTCCTCATTGGTGATCCTGTCTGACCATCTGATCCTCAGTAGCTTCTTCAGACACTTGTTCAGGAAAACCTGGATCCTCTTTATGCACGTCTGAGATGCGTTCCAAGTCTCACATCAATACAACAAGACTGACTTAATATTTGAGTTGAAAATTCTCAGCTTTGTTCATAGTGAGATATCCCTGGTCCTCCTAGTCCTGTTTAAAGAAATAAATGCAGTCTGTGCTTTTCCAACGCGGGACTTTATTTCAGCGCCTGTTCCTCCCTCTCGGTCAATTATACTCCCAAGAAAACAAAAGGATTCGACGTCTTCTAGTGCATTTCCCTCTACTGTGACCTGCTCCTTTCATAGAGCATTTATCCTTAGGACTTTTGACTTGCTGGGGTGGATCTTCAATCCAACAGACTCTGATAGGGCAGGGTGTTAAAAATTGTTGTCTTTGCTTGCATCTGCTTCTGAGTGTGTGACAGAAGTGCCAAGTCATCTGCAAAGTCAAGATCGTCCAGCTGTGTCCATGGGGTCCACTATATCCCGTTTCTGTGTCTTCTGGTGGTTTCCTTCATCAACCAGTTGATTGCCTAAATAAAGAGGAAAGGTGATAGTAAACATCCCTGTCTCACATCGGTCTTAATGTCAAAAGCTGCCAGTGAGCTGGCCATCATGTATAACCCTTCATACAAGCTCCTGATGAGGTTAACCAACTTCTGCGGGATTCCGTGATGTCTCAGTATCTTCCACAGTGTTGCTCGGTCTATACTGTCAAAGGCCTTCTCATAGTCAAGGAAGTCGACGATCAACTGGGAGTTCCACTCCAGGGACTGTTCCACTATGATCCTCAGCGTAGCAATCTGGTCCGTAGTTGACCGGTTTTTCTGAAAACCAGCCTGTTCATTCCGAAGTCTTGGATCTTACCTGGTATTGAGAGAAGAGTGATTCCTCGGTAGTTGCTGCAGTTGCTGAGATCCCCTTTTTAGGAAGTTTCACAAGGTGTCCTTCTTTCCAGTCCTTTGGGAACTTGCTTTCATTCCAGATCCTGGTAAACAATGGGAGAAAGAGGTCTGCCATCACATTGGCATCTGCTTTTAGGGCCTCAGGTGGTACCTGATCAGGACCGGCCGCTTTACTGTTGTTCAGCTTCTTAATGGCATCCATAATCTCCTGTTTTGACGGAGCATCACAGCATATTGGTAGCTCATTTCTTGCTGGCAAGATGTTTGGCGGGTTACTCGGCGGTGGTCTGTTCAGGAGACTGTTGAAATTAGGGTTGGGTCGGGCTCGCAAAATTAGCGTCCGCGAGTAACAAACTACTCGCTGGTACTACCCGCAAATGAGCGGACGGGTAACGAACCGTCCGCTTGTGAAGAGTAGTTCGCTACTCGCTACACATTGGACAGAGACAACAGTTCGTTTAGCGAGCGAGCGGACGGGCGGACCGAGAGACTCCATGCATTCGAGCGGGCGGACGGACGGACTGGAGCGACTCCTTCCATTGCATACAACTTGCAACCCCCCGCCTCCCCCAAAAATTAATTAAAAAATCACCCTTCTGCCTCACATTGTAGCTCGGCGTTCATGGCGGAAATTCCCCCCCCCCCCGGCCTTTGCGATAATTGGAACGTACACAGTGTGCCCCACGCACGAGGTGAAAGGTTACACACATAGTACTACGTCACCAGCCTCTCTCACTCCCTGTTGCACCGCTAGGCTAGTGGCTTGAAACATTAGGCCTAATTAACAAACAATAAACCACGGGCCTAACCTCGCGTTGAGTATCTCGTCTGCTAGAGTTCGTCCTTTTGCCCGCCCGCCCAGTGAATAAAATTGTGGAGCGGACCCAAAAAACGAACTGACTTGAAGCTTGAAGTCCGCAGTCCGCTCGCTGAGAGAGTCAAATTGTGGAGCGGACCCCAAAAATCGAACTGTCTTGAGGTTTGCAGTTCGCTCTCATGGCCGTCCGTTACTCGCTCGCTTTGACTGAGTCCGCGAGTAATGAACCCGTCCGTCCGCTCGCCCCAACTCTAGTTGAAATGCTCTACCCATCGTCTTGACTGAGCTTCCTTTCCAAAAATGTTTTTTCCCTCTTGGTCCTTTACTGTTACTTCTGGTTTCCCATATTTTCCGGAAAGAGTCTTTGTAGTCTGGTAAAGGATTCGCATGTAACCTCCTACCGCTGCTTCCTCTGTCTTCTCTGCCAGCCTGTTCGTGAATTCCTCCTTGTCTTTTCTCAGTGATCTCTTTACATCTTTAGCTGTTGTCCTGTACTGTTCCAATGTGTCCACCTTTGATCCCCTTGTGTTACTTGCATTTATCTTTGCTTTCAGCTGTCTTCTAACGCTAATCAAATCAAATGATCGTTGGCTAATCCATTCCTTATGTTCCAATTTTTTCTCATCAAGTATTTCTTGACATGTTGAAGTAAAGACTTCTTTGACCTTGATCCAGTGCATCTCCACCTCCATGTCCTCCTCATCAAGATCAGATAAGGGTTGAAATCTGTTCCTCAACAGCAGTTGAAACTCCTCTTTCTTGCGTCCATCTAGAAGACTTACTTGGAACTTCGTGCTTTTGGTTCCTGTTCTGGTTCCGTGCTTATCTTTAAGATGAAGCTTGAGTTTTGCTAACAGCAGATGATGATCTGATCCAACGTCTGCCCCTCTCTATACTGTGACGGCAACTTCCAGTGAACGCCTGAACCTACGAGAGATACAAAAATGATCGATCTGGTTCTCCGTCACTCCATCTGGCGATACCCATGTAGCCTTGTGGATCCTCTTGCGGGGAAAAACAGAACTTCCAATGACAAAACTGTTGAAATCACAGATATTAGCAAACTGCT